TAGAATGAGATCGTGAACCTGTTCGGTCCAGGGGCCTTATCATCATTCATATTAAACACCACATCCCTAACTTCATCCTCCTCAAATGGTCTCTCAACCCAACTAGCATCATCTTTGGTGATAGTGAAGAAGTCCAACCCCTCCAACTCAGGCCTCCACACAAACTGCTCCCGGTAAAGATTCTGATAGAATCTCACCTGCTGAGTTACAATATCTTGTGGATCCTCATACGTAACTCCATCAACTTCCAGCAGTGTAATAGAGTTATTGCGCCGGTTAAAAGTCGTATTTTTGATAAAATGGCAATGTCACCATACTTTTTAATTTAAACTAAAAAAACATTTTTTTTATAGGCAAAAAACAAAAAAAATTATGAATAAAATATACAGAAAAAAATTAAATGAATAACCTTCCCACCACCAACCCACTCACCCCAACAAAAAATGCCATCCTGTTTAATGTCAACGATGACAGTGAATCACATTATGGTGGAACCTTTGGTGGAGTTACTGGTTAATCGTTGAATGATATGGGATGAAGGTGGTTTTTTTCTAGGGAGAGAGATAGAAAGAGAATCAGAGAAAGACGAAAACATGCACCTAGAAATTTCTTCCCAGATAATTAAGAGATATCATTAATGAACACTAGCAAAGTTTGGGATCTTTGTTGTCTGACGACTGGTTAGTGAACAGTAGAAATTGTGCCTAAATAATGTAGTAACTTCGTGAAAATGGGATATCTGAATTTCTGTTGATTATTGTTTTAAATTGCTTGTTCATTTTCAATATAGAAGAGCTCTATTACTCTTATGTTTATATTGGGATACATGCTCCTTGCATTAGCCACGGTAAATGGGGAGAGCAGGAGGCTTAGAGGTCGAGGGAAGTTCTTTCCTTTTCCTTCTCACTCATTTTACCTCTATTTTGTTTACTTTTTCATTAAAATTAAGCCTTCACTCATTTTACCCCTCAAAAAATATGACATACAATGCACGGGTGACTTTTTAATGGTCAAATACACGAAAGCAGCCCACTAGGGACCCAAGCTAACAGAAATGAAAAGTTGAGATCCACAGCGAACAAAAAATAGTTGGAAACTACTTGCTACATTTCACATAGGTTCGGGATCCCAACTCTAATTTTCCAACATGTAGTATGCCAAATACTTTTTATTTTTCTGTTTGGAGAGAATTTGTAATTTTGTAAAGAATTTTCCACATGAAGTGATCATAGAAAATTATGCGTGGATAGGGAAAATTGCACAACTGACCCACTAATTGGGTCACCAGTTATTCATTATAGTTGCACAATCAATCTCCAATGATATCCATATCTACGTTATATCATTATGTGGCCCATGCATATCTAATTTTATGAAACTGGGTTTGCTTCCCAACATGGGCTGGTGCAAAAAAATTTGAAGTGAAGTGTGTTTCCATTATGGCCACAGGACAGTTTAACGAAGATTTGAACAGTTACTGTCACTGGGACTGGGAACTAATTGGGCAAAAAAGTTGAGCACTAACTTGTTCCTCTTCTAAGGTTGGGAACCAACTTGCGATTGAAGAGGTTGGGGACCAATGGTGGTGCAGTTTTCCCCAGAAATTAGAGGAAAGGCTATACTACTGTGATAACCCTCACATAAATTTATGCTGCTGAATACCAATATTCATAGGTTGCAGATCACATACAACCTTACCCTGAGCCAAGAAATTCACCCACCAAAAAGAGCATACAGATGCACCTTGACACAGAACTACTGAAGCTGTGCACTAAGATTTAATTTCTTGGAAGTAGCAGTCTAGTAAATGTTATCACCCGGTCCATGGAGGATTTCAAGAATAAAATTTTAAAAAATTTTCTATTTATGAAAATCACAGCAAATATTGTCTGATTCATACATAATTGCCTAATGTAATGGACCTTCAAGTAATATATATTTGTTTTCTTAGCATAGAAAAGAAATGTTGTGCAAATTAGATGAAAGTGTTTTTTTTTTTTTAATATTTAAAAGTTCATTGTCTAAGGAACTTCAGCTTAAATATAGAAAGTATGAAGGCCAGACTGTTTCTTTTACAGCAGAAATAGATATCATTACTATAATATAGATTTAAAACTCACAAGTTGATCTGATCCATTGCGGAGATCATAATTGCACGGAATGCCAGAGGCAAAGAAGAGATTGTGTATGGAGATTTATTCCTTTCTAAAATGGAGACTGGGACCCAAGATTCATCTTTCGTTATGTCCTCTGTTGAAGTCCGCATCCATGAACAAAGCCTTAATGTGTAAATTTTTGTGATTTCCGATTCAATCGCATGCAGTACAGTGACTGTTAATCAAAAAAGAATATACTTAGAACAATTTCAAAGACAGTAAACCAAGAAAAAGATATATAATATATATATATATATATTGTCTAAAATAAATAAATAAATGAATAAATGAAAAAGATTAAAAAAAAAGCCTTTTTTTAGGTGTTGTTGGGTGAAGGTGCGTGGGGACTTAAAGCTAAAACGTACCAGCAATTGGAGGTGCTGATTCTTTTCCTTCAAAAGCTTGGCATGCTCTGGATATTTCCTTTATAGCATCACTCATGTATGGATGAAGAACATTGGATTCTTCAAGATCACTAAAGGTGTTTTGGACCTGTACCAGAATTTAAATTTCATTAAGATGGAATTTCATCCTGCAAACTAGCGAGAAGAGAAGACATCAGAGTATCATTAATGAAAAGGAGGAAAAATCAAGGTAGACAATGCTCAAATGAGCTTGAATCACGTGCTGCTGCTGACTCTCAGGGCAAGTAAGACTCAAACCTTTGAGTCAACAGTGCATCTCCTAACATACTTTCTAGTGTAACGAGGTAAACCGCACAAATATTTCTATGGCCTGGAATAGCAACGCATTTCGTATTTACTAGATAAATTAATTCCAATAACAAACTAATTCTTATTCCTAATAAATATGAAGTCGTGTATGTGTCTTTTTTCTTCATCCTCCTCCTGTTTGATCCATCACAAGAAAGAGCATTTACCTTGGATTCATATGCTGATAGAGTATTATGTATCATTCCAGTAACTTCATTAAGAGAATGACCTGAGGACTTCCCATCTTTCTCCTCAGCTTTATTCACATAGTTATTGGCATTTAAATCAGCAGATACTTGGGAAGACTGCTGGACAGAAGATATGAACATTAAAAAAAGTTGCAATGTCAACTGAACACAAATAAAATTGATATTCTAAATACACTATGAGAAGACAAAAGAGGAGAAACCAGTTTTCATTAAGTCCAAAGCAAACGAATATGATTGTCCTACTCAAAATGGAACTAAGCATCAAACTCCTTGTGTAGAGGACACCAATAATTATGGGGAAACTGGTTCCATTTCGCTTTCCCATAAGTTTAAAAACATAGCTCAAGCAAGCTGATGCTAGAGACAAATATCTAAAGGCCAAAATTTTTAAATGCTATCATAAAGTTAGGATAAAGTAAAACCATTTCTTTGATTTTTACTTGCAGAGAGTCAACTTCTTCAGACTTCTGGGGTCATGGTTACATCGGTATCAGTAAACCTTGCTATACACACAGCATAATCCCACTTTTATATGCATGCACATCTGCATCTCGCAAAAGAAGCAGGCAGCAGCTGTCAGTATGTGCAACTAAAGTTCCTACCTATAGTTTATAATTAATTATCTACATAACAATGTACCTTCTATTATGAGAATTATTGTATATGATACTTCAACAGTAGAATTTATCATGGGTATGCAGTAGCACTAACACACCATATTGAGGAGAAAGCCAGCAGCCTAAATAAGACTTGCAGACCATCCAGATCAACATTCCAAAAGTTAATCATACAATATGGTTGCAAAACAAAAGACTTGAAATGAGTTGAAAATTTTCAATTCTTAGTTTAAGATCATACTTAGCCCCTGTTTGGTTTAGCTAAAAAAAAGTTGATAAAAATTCAAGTCAAAGTCAACATTTAAATTAACCATACATTTTAAGGGACCCACAACTTTTATCAACTTTTCAACCACATTTCATCAACGTTTATCAAAATCTACTAAAATTATGATTTTAAGCAAAACCAAACAAGGGCTTAGTTTTTGCCGGTACTGAGCCATATATTTTTGGGGATGTTTTAGGCAATTCCCAGTCTTCTATGGCATATTCATTTGTAAAATATAAATTTTTACATACTTATTGTTTTTCAGTGTTTATTCCTCGTTTACCATCTTCCTTCTTTATTTTTATTTATTTATTATCATTATTTTATTTTATGAGTTGGGTGCATTTAGTTGGATTTGATTCCAAACTCTGGTGTTCACTTCCAGCACATACAATGATCCTCAGCAAAAGAACCTAATGCAGGAGCAAGCTTGAAAAGAGGATGGGCCTATCTTCGCTATTTGGGAATTGCCAAATAGCGCCTTAGTACGGTGTCCTTCGAAGTGAGGCCAAAATGGAGTGGATTACGGGCCTGATTCTGGTTGTAATATCTGAACACAAAGATTTAAAAGGATGATAGCAAACATTATGCTTTTCACTTTTCAGGTTTCATGGGAAAATTAATAACCAAGGATGAAGAACATGATCCCCACAAAATCATGGGTGACACTCATGAACTCATTTTGAACAAAAAGCTTCTTCTTGAAATAAAAGGAAGAAGAAAAGTAAACAAGAGGCAACATGTCTACATGTAATTTAATGGAAGCATTCTGGCTTCCATTTTATTCATTACATGTCTCACTACAGTTCATATGGAGAGGGGAAACTTCTTATATTGCTAATTTAATAGGTTTCCAATAAAATGGGCTTGAAAAAATTACCTTTGCAAATTTTCCACTGGAAACAGCAAGTGCGACTTTCCAGAAGGCTGGTACGTGGTGGACAAGCACAGCAGTTAACCGGCGTATATATCTTCCTCTTAGAGCATCAACTGCTTCACTAGTCACTTCTTCAGGAAGTGGATCACCAGATAGATGGGAGTTTCCAAGAGTAAGAGAGTAATCCACATCTGACTGTTGGTCATCAACAAACACCAAGACTAGATTAATGATAAGAAGTCCAACCAACTTCAAATAAATCCAACAACCATCTGACCATTTCACACTTACAGATTGATTTATTTCTTGCTGAATTTGCCTCCACTTTGCATCAGATAGTGCTTTCTCACGGATCTCATTATGCAAATTCTCCATTTGTGCTTCATGATCTAAAGTACATTTTTCAAGCAAACCTCTTATTCTTTGATTCTGTCAGAGAGTAAACATTAAGAACTCAGAAAACTAATTACCCACTCAAAACTATGAGGCTTTCTTTAGATAATCAACTCAATGGGAATGGGAACACAAGGAAGCAGCTACAAAGATTTGATTAGCATGCAATATAAAGATTACTTTCAAGGGGAAAACGATCAGTTTTAAGCAAAAAGATAAATACTTAAAAATCATCCATGTTAGAAGCTTGACAAGAATTAACCGTGTGATACTCAATACATCTATCCAGTTAGAGACGTGTTAACGCAATGTGGACTAAATGTGGATTACAAAGTTCTCACCTGTATATTCAGGTAGTGCCATACGGGATCTGATTCAGGTTCAAGCTCCAACAAAAGCCTCACAATATTTTCAAGCTACAAACACAGCAGATGATATTCAATCGTCAGACATAACTAAAAATAAAAATAAGAACATCAATAATTTACCAAAAAAAAGACAGACAAAAAGAAAGAAATTTACTCTCTTTTGATCTTAATCTAAATAATTTAAACTGGATTGTTGTGGACTGTATCTTAATATACTTATATTCTATCCCAAACAGTTAATGGCTCCAAAATCATTTGTGCCTATCTACTAGAGGTTAGTTGTGCACTGATGACCAACTATTTGCATTGTCTAGTATTTTGCGTGTGCTTGTTTGTGGGGGAGTTTATCATTTCTACGAGTGATCAGAGCGCCTGTGTGAGAGATGAGAGAGTGAAAGAGCTGAATTGTTTCTTCTAAGCACACTCGTAACATATAAAAAAGTATGTTAAAAGTGCTATGTGAAGCAGTACAACAATGTTACTGAAATACAACAGATAACAAATCCATTTTTCTATTTTCACAAGGCGAAATCCTCTAGTCCTTTTTCTAGCAAAAGTTTTACTCGTGTTCGAAAGACAAACCCAAATACGAAATCTTGTATACTGAAATATTTTCTAACACGCAAAGAATAGATTATTCAGATTAACTTAAAAGTTAGATGCTCTTCAAACAGAACATAAGACCAATAACAAATCCTCTATCAGCATTAAATTTATGATATTGTCAAATGTAATTGCAAGATGACACAATACAAGTAAAATATAAAGAATTTTCCTCACATTTGTTAGGTCAATGTTTGGATCTTCCATGGACTTGTAAAGCATGCCTTTAAATTCTTGCATTACTTTTTCAACCTCCTCGAGAACACGTTTTAGAATTCCCACCTGAATAATTATAAATGAAAATAGACCACTCATTCGGAGAAGGAAAATAAAAATGAACTTCAAAAGGTGGAGTCGTCAATCCACTACGTAATCTCAAAAATACTGCAACATATAATAGATGATCGACGTATACTAAAGACAGGTGCTTCAATAAAATTCTAAATTTTGTTCCTCGTTTTTATTTCTAGCGACCTACTTCCAATAGAAAAAAAATTCCCAAAGAAGAGCTTAGAAACTGGAAGCAATCACAAACTTATAAAAACATAAATCACCCGATATAACAAATTTATGGTATAAAACTAAACCAAAAGGATTAAATAGGGATGTATGCTCAGGTACATTTCTTGGAAATTATTGGATTCCCAGTTTGGCAAAATAGTTTCCTAGCTGGGCATGCAGAAGCTCAGTTCCATTTGCAGATAAAAACTTTATTTCAGAATAACATCTTAAGAAGCGGAAAGAGCTGAATACCCACTACTTCACATGACAGAGCATTAAGGCAACAAAATCACCTTACTTGGGAGTACAAGAGAAGGTTCCATTATATATTTCAAAGATATAAATCAGCCAACAAAACCAAAAAGGAAACTGATAAAATGAGAGAAGAGAAAGAAGTGGAAACAAATTGAATATATTTCCCTTATATTGCCTGAAAAATTACGTGTCAGGGAGTGAGGCAAAGTCAACATAATTTCGCATCACAGTCATTCAAGTAATATTAAAATAAAAAAGATTATTTTAGGGCATTCTACTCGGACAAGGTGGAAGCAACCACAATCCAAAAACTAAGAAAAAAATTGACTACAATCACAGGAACCCTGCCAGAATAAAATCAAACCGCAATGGGAAAAAAAAAATAGACCGAGAATGAACGAGATAACCATTTAGTATGACCCTGGACTAAAACCAAGCAAGACCAAGCCTAACATTTCAGCTGCAAGCTATATAATAGAGCGTGCTTGTACCATATTGTAGACACTTAACTGAGATAGTTAAATAGGTTGCTACCAATAACATTCGCAAACTTAGCTTAGAAGGTTCCTTTGGTTGCTACCAGTAACATCATAACCAAGCACTACTGCTGACAACTTTGATACTGTATCAGAGGGTTGATGTTAGGAAGGAAAAAGTACAGTAGCTGTTTCACCAACCCACTCTCAAGAACAGAAAGAAGTTGATTAACTTAATTCTTAACAAAAGTATTTGGACAGTGAAATAATATTCAAGAGGCCAGAACGCAAGGCCCTTTTTAGGCAAAAGGGTCGGGTACTATAACTCAAATAAGCAACATAAGGAATAGTAATAAAATTGGTTTCAACATTGTAACATCATGTTTAGTTGATATTATGCCTAACTAAGAAGATGGAATGACATGCACTAAAGGCACCTACATGAGAAGGCAGTACAATGGACTTCGCTTTCCTGTATTCTCTCACAGCCAAATCATATTCACCCTTGCTAATGTTTCCACGAATTGCACTGGGCAAGTTGAATAGGGTCCTGAACCTCTGAAGCATTCCTTGGACAGACCTGATCTTCTCTGCTTGTGCCTAGAAAAATATTTTGTTGGTTTCAATTAGGAGTAATCAAGGCTGATATTTTCCAAACCTATTAAACTACTATGTAATTCAGGATTGGAATCCTAACTACCTGTCTTTCAAATAGAGGTTCAAAAGCACGATTAGAAAGTGAACTGACACCTTGGATACAGTTAAGTAAGTGAGAAGTTCCAGAGCCTTCAGGGTCTTCCTCAATTCGTTTCAATTTTGACTCGATATCTGTAATCAACAAAATTTCATCATTGTCGTTAGAACTTTCTATCATGAATGCATAAAAGTGTCAAAATCACGTGTAACGATCTACAACTGACCATCAATTGTAGTTTTGCAAGAGACAAAGCAATCAAAATTTTCTTTGACCAACTGCTTCTTCTGTTGAGTTCTTCCTTTAAGATCATTCTTTAAAGAAAGAGCGCCAGCTTCCAAATCTGCTGCACTGGTATCTAGGTGTACTCGGGACAGAAAAAGCTTTGCATCGAACTTCTCTGAATAATAATTTAATTTCTCTGCAAAATCACACACAAAAAAAATAAGTTTCCTTAGAACTCGAGTTGGCCATGGTCACCTGCGGTATACTCTTAATGCACCTTCACTCAAAGGTGGCAGTCAAGTTTCCCAGAAAAAATATGCATCAAGGCTCAAGAATATTGCTAAAAGTCAAAATCATAACTGCTTTCCAATGTATAACTTCTTCATTTTCTTTCATATAGTAATAATAGCTTTACCAAAAGGCCATACCTAGCAACTGCTTCCTGTAAAATTAGCTATTCATGTTACTTAATCCACGTTTTTGAACTATAGTTCACACCTTCACAGAGTTAAACATACGACAGAATGTGAACGGTTATATATCTGCAAAGATGATGACCTTTACAGCTTCCACAGTAAGATAAAACAAATAACTAAGGAGGAAATATGTTATGCAAATAAGAAGATCAAACTCACAATACAGGGTCAGATGGCAATAAACGCTAAGGAGGATATGTTTATGCAATTAAGAACATTGAACTCACAATCCTCACTTATGCATCTAATTGTTCGCACAACTGTAGGAATTATTTGCATCTGCAATCAATTCTCATCTAGCAAGAAAAAAGTCGACAAAATTTTCATCACTATAACTTAGTCTTCATGGATTAAGTGATATGAATCCTAGACGATATATTATATGGAAGACTCCCCAAATTGGATATGTAATTAGGGTTTTAGATTCTCTAGTATTTTGTTAAATTCTCTAATATTTTGCTAGGCATTTCTTACCTAAATTTGATAAATTCTCTAGCATTTGTTAGATGTTTCTTACCTAAATTTGATTAGTTTAAACCCTACATAAAGGGGTTTATGATTTGTAATAAGACACAACTTTGATATGAAATAAATTGATATTCTTTCCCTCTACATTCTCTCTTTTCTCTCCGTCTTCTTCTTTTTTCTTTTTTCAATCTTGTTTTTGTTCATTTGTGTTAGTCATCATTAAGTCATGAATCTTTATACACAAAAATTGGACAGCCATATCGATGTGCTGCGAAGCACACAGAGAGATGATAAGGGTAAGGTTGCAATTATAAATCATCCAGATTTTTTATACCGATAAGATCCACAGAAGATCATTATATGATATCAACCAAATAAGAAGCAGGTACCAAAACAAACAGGAAGCCTGAAGAATGATCCCTCAAACATCTGGAAAATCATAGAATCACAAAAACTGCAAAAAGGAGGGGATAGTGGAACATCAACAGATTCAAAAAGCACGAATACACCAGCCATGCCCCCTTCCCACTCACCCCCCTCCAGAAAATAGGAAAAGGGAAAGGAAAAACCAAGCACAACCAATAAATCTTGGACACAACACACACACCACCAAATAAACAACGAGCAAAGTTATGGGGAAAAAAATTCTATTGCTCCACTGACACCTGCAAAACTTAGCACTAGCCAGGTTTTACATTACTTTTCAAGCACTTCTTTGAATAAAAAAACAAGAAAAAAAATATTAGAGCTTTCCCACAGAAACTGCTAACTAGCTGTTGAACTTCCTTGTTGATTCAGCTAATAGATTTTGTAAACTTTTCCCAGATTCACCAGATCCTTCTCCAGCACAATTGCAATGCTACTCTATAAGAGCAACCAATACCATAAACCTCTTGTCTCACCTCTAATATAGCATTCTTCAGGACATGAGAAATTGACACTTAAAGCCATAAAATAGTTAGCTTAATAAGTTTTGATAGAGCATCCTCGGAATTGTGATATAAAAACTACCATCGTCAAGATAAGAGTAGTGGAATCCCGATCGATCAACTACATATAGCTACTCACCCGAAACTTGATTCCAAGTGCTTCCACCCTTAAAATCAGAAGACAGAAAATGAAGTTCTGTTGGAGGCAGAGACTTCTTGGGAACCAAGGCAAACAAAACATGAAGACCAAAACTAGTATTATTCTGATCAACTAGTAAAAGATGCTGGAGGTTGGTTAAGGTTTCCTTGAAACCAACACAAACTTACTAGACCAACATAAACGTTCTCAGAATGAGAAAGGAATGAAACGTAATTCCAGGGATATCCTTCAGATATATCACAAGCCTTACATTGACTTACACTTCTCTCTATTTTTTAAGTGGCAATCAAGAACTTCAATGGGGCATCTTGAGCACTTCTATTTTAACCCAAGTCCTTCCATTCTCACTTGATTTCTCAATAATACAAACAATGCCAAGTTATATATCAGGATGATATTTTATACATTTACTGGATAAGGCACCCTAGCACCATCAACCTACAATAGGATTTTATTCATAGATGCAGAATGACCACATCCGAGTATATCATCTGAGTATGAAACTTTATTACCACACAGAAATTGAATGTCGAAACACACAGCATTTACAGAAGAATCCATTTTAGTTTCAGAAATGGAAGGAAAGATAATGAAACTTCATATAATGAAAATCAGGTTTAAGGCATCCAGTATTTCAAACAGAAGTATGTCCGTTGACATGGTAATACATCATTTCCTTCCAAAAAATATAAACAAAGGAAGTGCAGTTCAAGACAACAATAGAATAAATACCTCGTGCATTCGAATCAAGAGGTTCATTATCAGCCAAGGACGGAGAACTAGCTACGCTATCACTGATCAACCTAAATGTTTTGTGGTTAATTAGCCTGTGATTACAAGTGAAGTAAGTTAGAGAAAATATTAAAAAAGATCAATCAGCAGGGAAAACAACTAACAAGATAAGAGATTTACCCCAGTCCTAGTGGATCTACCCATTCCATTCCTCGGGGAAGTGACTGCATATTGCTTAGTCCCTTTTTACCCAATGCTGATGGCTTCTGCTCAGACTTTTGAGCCATTGGAACTGTTTTGCTTTCCCTCATCTCACGAACCCTCCGAGAAAGCTGTCAAAAGATTTCAATTTCAATAAAATCCAGGCATTTTTCCAAGATTACGACACAGTTAAGTGACAAGCATCTGGGAAAGTTCACCACCTATAAGTCAAGAGGAAAAAGCAGCTAAATTTCCATGCAAAAACAAGTCACTTAACTTTCACCAATACAAATAAATGTGTACAGTAATAGCACCCTAAATGTAAAATAATAAATAATAAAAGCACCTAAAGGAGGAGAGAGGATGCTAACATACCTCTCCATTTCCTTCATTGAAGAGATTATAGCAACTTTTCAGAGAAACGTTAATCAAATTAAGGGGTGTAAGTTGACACAGGTGCATATGCTAATGTCTCAAAGAAAGGGAAACTGAAGAAATCACACGTGAGATTTAAGATCAGAATGCTCAGATTCTTAGGTCTAAGTTATTGAGAATTCCTCTGCCGCTCTTTCTAAGGAACTCAGAAATTACCTATGTGATTTTAAGGAGCGCCTAAAAGAAATTTCATTTCTTCTAGAAGCTGATAATTAAATCATTACTAACTGCAGCTGTTTTGGTGTTTGTGTCTAAGACTAGAAGAGGATATGTTAAATGTTTCTATACTTACGAGTCTTACGTACTCCCTTTGAGAGGATAATAACTCTCTCCAGTTTATTTCTATTTACCAGATAGATTTGTAGAGTACGTATTTCTTCTATTTCTAGTTCTCCAGGCAGTAAAGCTCTACATACAACAATAACGAAATAATCAAATACATCACCTTGTCTAGCAATTCAAAAGGTCAAGATTCATTATTGAACAGCAAGAAAAATATCATTTCTATGATTCTATTTAATTTTCAATGTGTGTCTGCCCATTGACAGATCAAATGACCATATAATCACTCCAACCGTAGTTTGTAATTCATGCAGGTCAGAGCCGCTCATCAACTCAGCAGCAGAATCTAGTCTAATTAACAAGGCTCTGCGCACAATATAGGCATATGTACATGATACAAGCATGCCTAGCAGCATAGGGCAACCGAACAACTAACTCGAAAGCCTATGATTCACTTCAATGAATGATATGTATGAAACTAGCTATCAATTATAGGTATATGTATAAATAGGTCCAAATATTTAAGCAAAAAAACCATTAAAATTCACTTCAATTAACATTTCAGTATCCATAATCCACTTCAATGAATAAAAAACCTCAGTTTCATCCACGTGCTTCCAGCAATTAGGCTCTTCTCCATCCCACCCTTTATCATCATCCCGTCCTCTCCCGGCCCGGTTTTTCACCCCGATCCCACGATCATCCTCATCTCCGGAAGATATACTTAGCATTTCCACCTCCGAATCATCGTCCTCTTCCACAGCCCCCTTCTTCTGCTGCTGGTGAGCGATCCCTTTCTTCGGTTGCTGAACCGGGTTGGGATTTTTCACGGGGACTGGAGCCCGATTGGAAGGCGGCTGAACGTAGTTTCGGACGGGCTTGGAAGATGTTTTGGTGTGTTTTTGGTAATTAACATTGCGCTGTGCTTGCTCTTTCAATGCCATCTGCAACAGCTCATCCTCGTCGAAACCTTCACTGTCGCTCGACATTTTGAGCTGCTGTTTTCGAGTGGTTGATTATAGATAAAGGAACTGTACGTAATTCTGTGGGGTTTCCGAATTTGGATCCGATGAATAATTGTGTTACTTGGGGGTAGACGAAGAAAGGATGGGAATATAGTGCGTTGCGCGCACGGTATTGTTTCTGCAACTGCAATGTCTGGATGCCACGTGGAAACTTTGAAGAGGGTTGATTGGCTTTTTATGCACAAAGGAAAAGTATTTTTGAATTTTTAATATCACCTATTAAAACGCAAAGGGTCCGTTCTTTTTACCATTTTCAAATCGCTTTCTATTTTCGATTTTTCAAAACAGTGAAAACGCGTTATCTTTCCTATTTTTAAAACAAGTTAAAAATTTACAAAGAAAACACGAAACGACAAATTTGTCGTTTTGAATGTTTTCAGTTATAATCAAGCCAAAATTTTCAAAGTACGTTTTGAGTGTTTTCAAAATAATTTTTCAAAATGTCAAAAAGAATATACTTTCAACAATCTCAAAATGAACACTCAAAATACAAAACTTAAAACATAAAACTGAAATACAAAGAGAACGTCCACTAACCTTTTCTTTTTTTAACATGTTCTATGTATAAAATTTTAATCCAAAGAATGAAGATACAAATATACTATCACTTTTTTAGGCTTAACAACATGACATCCTTGTTTGTGAAATTTGTATAGTACTTTTGAGGCATTTGGATTACCAATCATCAATTGTTAAACCCGTCTAGTTTCTATGTATTTAGGACATGTTTGAGTCTTATTCTTTTGCTAAAATGTATTTGGGAATAGTGATTTAATGGAGAATGTGTGATTTAAAGATAAGGAAAAATTTTGAATTTTCGTGTAATATTAATTTATTGAATAATGTGTGATTGAAAAGAATATAAAGAAAAATGTATTTTGAAATTAATAAGAATCAAACATGCTCTTAAAAACTTGTTGGTTTCTTTCCACAAAACTCTTATTTCATAGCATAAATCAAGTAGGAGTACGTAGATTTGCTTGTGATTGTTTAGATTGCATCCTTCAAAGATGGTACATGAATTTGCAGTATTCATTTTATCGATTGCATATTCACATCTAGTTACACGTTCAATTTTTTTTTGGATGCACGTGATTATTTAGATATCATCATTTATACAAATCTTCAAATTGATCAGGGGCGGACCGACACGTGGTCGTGACCCTACAAAATTTTTTTTGGTGTTTTTTTTTGTCAAAAAATCTATAGTTGTTTTGATTCTCAAATTTATATATTATGTGAAAAAAATATGTAGTTGCGGCACGTGAAAGTTGGCCGTTTCAAACTAATATTTTAAAAATTTCGATAACATGCAAAATTTAAGAAATCGTTGACAATTGTATAGAATCCACAAATTGTCTATATCATCTAGAAACTCGTTTCGAGAACTACATCCTAGTCATAAAGAATTGTTCAAACGGATATAAAAAATAGTTAAATATCCGTCAAATGTACGTCTGGAAAAACGTCTTACTCGTATTTTCTTTAAAAAATTTCAGTTGTTTCATTAACGTTTATTATTTTTTGCACGATAAATTTCTCTATATAATTTACATCATTTTATTCGAAAATTTTATATGGAATATGACGTAAAAAATTTTAGGATCATTAAGGATTGAATGTAATTAGAATTACTTTCAAATTACATTTGTATTATTTAAATGTTATTTACTTCCTGGATTAGATTTAAATTTTATTTCAATTCATTTACTTACTTTGATTTAATCATCGTCGGCTCAGGATATATCGACGAGATGGTAAACAAAAATATACAAGTAGCAAAATTCTTTTGACAATATTGATAATAATGCAGTTATACGACATCTTCAAAACATCAAAATATGTATTAACCTATTTTCATTAATATTGTGCTTTTAAAAAATAAAATAAAAATTACATTTTAATTTTTGACCCCACAATACAAAAAGTTTGAGTCCACCCCTAAAATTGATTATTAAGGTATGTTTCTCGTAATATTTGTCAATGAAGTGATTTAAAGTTTCAAAATTGATTAGTAATTTACTAAAACTAACATAAAATATGTTGTGACATTAGTTGAATGTCAATGTCATTTAAGCCTCTGTTTGACAATTTTTTTGGGGGGAAATGAGTTTTGAATAATAATTTTTTGGGTAATGCGTGGTTAAAAAGCATGAAAAGTTTTGAATTTAGGTGCAAAATATATTATTATGAGAATGTGTGATTGAAAACGAGTTTAAGAAAAAAATAGTTTCCTTTTAATGGTTGTCAAACAGTGGCTAAATGCTATGAAATCCTCCATTAATTAAAATTTAGTTGGACAAAAATTTAGGCTGTTGGAAAATTTTTCTAAAATCGTGTAATATTTTACATCAACATTAGTCCAATAAATCTTAATGGCACATCTATGGAGCTTGTTTGAGTTTTATTATAAGTTGTTGAAATTATAATACGATATAATGAGTAATGAATAAACAGAGCGATTGTGAATTTTACAAAATGTGGGATTAAAATTAAATTTTGATTTTGAACTTTAATTTACGAGGCGATTATAATAGGAGGCTAACATATGAGTATCATGTTAAATTATAAGTCAATTTTAGAATATTCGAGTGATATGCAATGCCCGTCCTAAGCACTATTCATAAGCCGCCGGCTCAGCTCGGCTCAATTTTTTTTTTCTTCAAACCGAACCGATATACTTTTAGTCTCAGCTTGGCTAAGCCGTTGAACCAGTTTTTTTTTCTTTTTTACGTTTGCTTTAATATTTTAGGTTCTAAATATGTGTTCTAAGCGATTTAATTTTGTTTTGAAATGTTGAAGTGCGGCCATCCTAAATATATATTCGACTCGGCCCAGTTTTTTTTAATTACCNGTTTGTCGGGTTTTTTTGTCATCCCTAGAGTTTTGAATAATGGTTTTTTGGGTAATGCATGGTTAAAAAGTATGAAAAGTTTTGAATTTACGTGTAAAATATATTATTATGAGAATGTGTGATTGAAAACGAGTTTAAGAAAAAAATAGTTTCCTTTTAATGGTTGTCAAACGGTGGCTAAATGCTATGAAATCCTCCATTAATTAAAATTTAGTTGGACAAAAATATAGGTGGTTGGAAAAATTTTCTAAAATCGTCTAATATTTTAGATCAACATTAGTCCAATAAATCTTAATGGCACATCTATGGAGCTTGTTTGAGTTTTATTATAAGTTGTTGAAATTATAATACGATATAACGAGTAATGGATAAATAGAGCAATTGTGAATCTTACAAAATGTGGAATTAAAATTAAAATTTGATTTTGAACTTTAATTTATGAGGCGATTATAATAGGAGGCCAACATATGAGTATCACGTTAAATTATAAGTCAATTTTAGAATATTCGAGTGATATGCAATGCCCGTGAAAATAGGAATATCTTTAGTGATCCCACAAGGTACGGAAATATTTCATGCACCATGTGACAATCAGTGAAATTAACTCAAAATTTAATAATATTCACGTCACATTTTTTTATTATCTATACTGTATTTAATTTCAATAAAGGTCCCAAATTTTTTTGTACTTATATTCTCAACATTTTTTGGTTCCATTTTTATCCTTAATCATTAATTTATGAGCATATCTTGATTTTGATAATGATTTGTCTCACTATTCCGTTAACGTGCATTGAAGTAGGTATTTTGTCAATTGTTTGTATTTATTGTTTATTTTTGTTATTTAAAATATACGGAGATGTAAACATGTTAGCAAAAGGAAAATATTTTGTCAAGCTTTATATCCTTTACTTTTGTCACGAATTTTGTTACCCACAAGGGCAGTCAAAATGTAGTGTAATTAACAAAAAAATGTGCTGTAAATATAGCCTCTGTTTGACATATATTAAAATTTTCATTTTCATTATTCTACTCATTTTCAACCACACATTATTCAATAACATAATATTTTCCATCACATCAATAACTTTTCTTCTTTTTCAACCACACATTTCCCATCATATCACTATTCAAAATCAATTCTTCCCCCAAAAATCTCTCCCAAACAAGCTCTAAAAGTAAAATACAAATACCTAAACTCTAGTGCTCGGCAAATCATGCATGTCTCATTATTCAATAACATAATATTTTCCATCACATCAATAACTTTTCTTCTTTTTCAACCACACATTTCCCATCAATCTACTATTCCAAAATACATTCTTTCAAAATAATATCCATCAAACACACCCTAATTACCCTTGTAGATACGTGATTAGAGCATGTATTGTTAAAATTATAAATAAATAAATAAAACACAAGTTATGGTAGATAATTAGGAGTATTGTGGATTCCCGAATATAAAGTAATTTGAACGTCAATAAACAGTTTATAAATACAAGCTAAACATAGAGGAAGAATTTGAGACGGTGATTAATAGTACTTTATATGCTATTGTTTGATTACCTTAGCCTAGGTTTGATTTGCCTAAAAATAAAAAATTTTAATAAAATTTGATAAATTATGTAGTTAACAAATTTAATAAAAATTGTAGTTCTCATGAAATATATAGTTGAAAACTCGAATTTGATTTATATCAATAAAATAATTTTATACTTAATTCAAAATTTTAGTCAATTGCATCCCAATTGGGGATAAATAGCATTTTTCACGTATAAAAGTTCCTAAACTAAAGGCGCGACACGTGTCGATCAGGCCAATCGTCCAATTTGTTTTCTTCCACCCATTTCATTATTTTGGTTTCCATTTGTTTCTTGCGTTAGATACTTGGATTAGATTAGAGGAAGCCCTAGCTACGTTCCCCGCTTCCGTCTTCCACCACCCACTGCCACCACTTCACTTGCTCAGTCGGTCTATCGGTCTCCTCTACGGCTTGAGGGGCTACACTCCCTTTCCTCATTTTCACGCAAGTAAAATGGGGTTGCATAATTTCCATTTTTGTGAATTCGTTGTTGGATTGAAGCTCGACTAAAGGTTCAGACTATTGTCTGCATAATTTCCATTTTCGGATTGAAGCTTGGCTAAAGGTTGAAGTTGTAGGTCTGCATAATTTCCATTTTCCGGTTGGATTGAAGCTCGGTTAAAGGTGGGTTGTGCATAATTTGTTGTAAAATATATAAGAAAATCTGGAAAAGGCACTCCAAGGCACGGAAAAACGTTATCTTTTAAAAGATGTTT